TGTCAAGTTGATGGAAAATTGGTGTTGGATGCAGATGCTAGAACACAAGCAAGAGCGGAAGCTAACTGGCTGTTTGCCTTCACTAGGACATTAGATGTAAGTTGGCTTTCAATTAATGCCGTTCACTGAACTTGATTGCGAAAGTTTTCTCGACTTAGTGCTGTTAAGGCTCATCCAATTTCCTAGACAACTGATGAATTACCTTTTAATCCACATGTCAAACATGCTTATCGATTGCAGTCTTCATTTTTTCTTTGTCCCCATGTTGTGCAGCCAAGACGCATGGCTACAAAGTCACAGATTATGGGCAGCTCGAGTTAGGAACCTATAGCAGACCTAACTGACAGCGTTCCAGGGTAATGCTCAAATGATCGCTTCCGATTCGGTTGGCCCATTCAAGATGGATACGTTCGCATCGGCGTTGAATCTGGCACGAATGGGAGCCCAACAAATATTCTCCTTCTACAAAGAAATGATGGAACGAAAACTCAGTGTCGACATTTTCACGAAGCCGGAACAAGAATTGGCAAGTTGATATCTGGACGAGATGCTTGAGCCAACATTTCATTGTTTTTGGTAGGTTCCTGGTAAACTCTGATGTCCGTTGTTGTTTCTTTGTAGGCTTTTTTCTGTCTGATTTTTTCGAAGATGATTTTTTCTCCTTCAATGGCTTCCAACCATACTTTAAAGGAATCACTCAATTTTTTTGTCAAGACTATATATTACGAGATCTTTAGACGTAGTATCGATCCGCTCTCCCGTCACTTGATTCTTATTCAGGGCTCTTGCCACTCTCTGTACTATTTGACAAAGGCGCCGGTGGGTGGGGTGGTACGGGTGGCGGTATTTCTTACCGATTTAATGTATCCTTTGCTGAGAAATTCATATCTTTCCCTTCGCTGCATGCGACTTCGCGCGTTCGGATGCGGCAAGCACGACGCGATTTTCGGGAGAAGTACCACACCCAGGATGGAAGAACCCCTATCTGCGATAATCGTGCGAACGGTGAGCAAATCTTTATAGGGGATATTTCGAGGTGGAATAGCTAAGGTCGTGTTTGCTAGCAGTAAGAGAAAGCAGAAATTCCATGTTATTTGGACAGGAGAAGTATTATTGTTCCGTCTGAATTATGCAAACCGCAAGCCCCATCTCCCCCTTCCTCTTTGAACTCCGTCCGCGGGCGCGATAGGCTAAGGTACTCAGGCACGAATTCCGCCGTACGTGGCCGCATTCACTCTATTTACCGGCCCCAAGCCGAACGTTCGAAATCTTTTATCGCGGTGTATCTTGGCCATAAAAGTCTTCCGCTGCTACTTTCATGGTTAGATCGTCTGTGCAGGTTTTTGTTGTTCGAAATAGTTTGTATATGAGCACACATTTTGTTGATTTATTTGTTACTCAGGTGAAATAAAAACGAATAAGAGATTGTAGTTTATGGTGAGCTGTAGGATTGATACTCGTACGCTGCGGCTTCGGCTCCTGGAATAGCCCTGTTTTAAAGAGCAGTATTATAGTTCACTCAAAATCAAAATCGTAGATCGTAATAGACCGTATTTTTTACAGTATTGTTAGTTTTACAGTGTTTTTTACAGTACACTACCGTGTTAAGCTACTACTACTCACTTGCTGCTCGTCGATCAGCCATCCAATATCTCAAGTAAATGACGAAATCCACCGCATAGAGGACGAAGTTCGCAAAACACGCCAACTAAAATAGTAAGGTTACAAAATAGCTTAGTATTCACGTTTGGTGTCAGATCAAAACCACATGCTTCCCTGTACCTTCAGATGTATTCATGTTCATCTTTGTTTACCACCCCACCCCCC